GCCAGTCCGACTGTTTCTCTGTGAGTAGCTACAGCTGCATCAGCAACAGGAGTAGCAGCAGCAGCAGCTACAACAGTCGGTTGCAACGGCACGCATACATGTATTTCCGCATCCGCATCCGTTTCCGCTTTGTGCATTGGTAAGCAACTGAAAACAGGCAGCAAACATACACAAGCACACGCACACACACACACATACACACACAAGCAGAGGCCCGCACACACATAAACATTGCGACAGCTACAGACACTGAGTGGTAGGCAAAAAGACAGCCGACAGCAGCAACAACAATAATAAGCGACATCAGCAGCTGACTATGTTTGCAGACTTGACTGGCAAACACTCTGTAGCTAGTTCTGAATGGGTCAATCAAGTCAATCAATAACTGAAAACTGATTGCATTCGCATATATCGATATCAGAGGCATATGACAGCTGGAAATTGGGCCTAAAAGAAAATGAATTATTCTACATTTGAACTTGCCTTAACTCATAATAAACTTAATTTAACTACAATCGATACTTATCGATAATTATAAACTAATAGCAATCTCGCACTCTCGCGTAATAAAAAAGACTTCAAGCAACTTAAAGACTTTCACGCCATATATTATATGAGCTTTGATAGCACCTATTGAAGTCTCAGTGAATAAAAAAATGTATTACAACTATGCAGCAATAATCAAACTTTCCTGCTAATATGAAAATAAGAGCTGAGCTCACCACAGCTGCAGAGACTTATTAACTCTGCTTGTTGCATACCTCTGCAGTTGTCCCACATACCCTTTATTCTCCAATTTGAAAGAGTACAGGGTATAGCCAACCAAGACTGCGACGGCGGCAACTGTCATGGGTTTTATGGCCACATTTGCCAATTGTTTGTTGAATTGTTGACGTAAATGTCACTCGACTGAAAGGCTCGTCGTATGGGCGTGGGCGTGGCACAACCAACAGACATGGCTTGTTGGCTTCTTGCTTCATGCTATTATTGTCACCAGCAGCGGCAGCAGAAGTGCTGCTTCTTCTTCTTGTTCTTTACAGCAGCCGTCAACGCATCCGACGGCATCGTTAATCTTGTTTAAGGTACAGCCGTAGCACAGCTTTTGGCCAAGTCGCTCTATGGGCAATGCGCATTCCGCACCTGTTTGAATTGCGAAACATTGTCAGGGTAACGCTCGAATCCCAACTAGACGAAACAGTTGCTCAAGCAAAAATGTGTTACATAATGCGGGATGCGTAAGAAGAGTAACCTAATTATATTATATTATTAATTTAGATTAGATGCACGAAACGTGCAAGTGTTAGTCCCATAGGTCTGAGAGTAAATAAATTCGTTTACATAAATCAGTTATTCGATAGGCCCAGTTCTTGCCATAACTGGCAGGCTTAAAGCCAAGCTTAAGCAAAGCTTATCGAATTACCATATTTGTCATTAAAGTAGCATTTAATAATAATAATTAGACAACTGATTATATTACGAAGGCATTTAAATCGGGCTTTAGTTCAGTTAAAGAAAGATGCATTAAATTGAAGTAAATGAATTTTACATAGTCATGAAATTAAATTGATCGCATTAATTCCTTAAATATTATTATGTCATTTCGCTCAGTTTTTATTTATTTTTGTCAAATGAAGACAGCTTTCGCTAAAGGCGAAATTCCATGCGTACAGCTGCAGACAATTTTTATTTTTATTTTTTTGCATTTTATTTAATTTACGTTCAGGGCAAAGGCAGACCCTGCTGGTCGGCATTCCAATGTTCGTTCCACGTAACCAGCCAACAACCAACAAACTACAACATGCAAAATATGATATTTATTGCGGAATGCACACATATATATATATATATATATATATATATATATATATATATATGTATATAGCTGGGTGAGGGTAGAACAAGTTGGTCTACTTGACTTTCACTTAAGCAAAGTATAATTTCCTTATGAAATGGATTTGTCATTCTGGGAAACTGTTACACGAACTGTGTGGGGCTTCAACTTAAGCCTTGACAACTGGAAGACATTAAATACAAAAAAATGTTTTAGACAACATAACTTCATAATTAATATTGCAAAGTCCCATTTCTGTTTCCTCTAACTACAGTCTTAACAGTATTTCTAATCAGAGAGAAACTGCAGCTCATTAGGTTAGTTAAGCTTTTAAATGTGTAGAGTATACAAAATGCGCATATTCTTGTAAATAACTTGAGCTCTCTCGCTTCATCCATAATTTATAATTCATGATCGTTGACATTTTGAGATGGATATTGCAGAATTAATTAATTTCAAGTGCCTTAAACGTCTCAATTATTCAATTAATATTAACAATATTATTAATGTGTATTATGTAGGTTAAAACAACATGCTATCAGCCTTTTGCATCTTAGCTCACTGCCATCTAGTTCTATGCCAAGAGCACACAACACCCAAGCACTTGACTGTTATTCGAATTTAGATCATCTTTGATTATTAATAAGTATTACCTATAAAACATAAGTGTTCAAGTGGCTTAAGCGCATTTTAACTGAATGTCGAAAGTGAAGCCTAAGTGCCTCATACCTGACAGGCTTGCAACATTCAATCTTTGATCTAAAAGGAATTTATATACTAAATCTTATGATCAAGCTTACTTCTAGCAAATCACAGCGAATGGATTACAATAAACCTCAAGCAAATACAGAACACCTAATACTCTTTGTAATCCATAACTGTTTGTCTAGCTTGCTTATCCTTTGAAGTAACCAAATCCTTTGTTGTCTTGTCTAAAACTGACCTCGTTAGACCAAGTAAGCAAGTGTAATGGTTACACTAACACCATGTCAAAAATTGATGGCCCAAAGAGTAAGGCAGAGAAAAGAGAGCGAGTGACCGAGAGAAAGGGGGTTGTAAAAGAGATGGCGATAAAGTGCTCCTGGTGCTGTTGCTGCTGCTGCTGCTGCTGTTTCTGCTCATGATATACATACCTTCCGCTTGGCCGCCAGTTGCTCCAAATGCAGCGGGCGATGTTTGCATTGCGTCGCAGTTTTTTTCATTCGTGTTGGTTTTAATTCAATTTAACAATCGCGTTTTTCTCATGCACTTTTCACCATTTTTCTTTTTTTTCTCTCTTTTGCTCCGCCGCTTCTGCTGCGCTGTGTGTTTTGCATTGTTGCTGCCAACGAAGCGAACCGGAAGTTGCACAGCGGCAGCAGCAGCTGCAGCATCAGCAGCAGCAGCAGCAGCAGCAGCAGCAGGAACAACAGCATCAACAGCAGCCATTAGCGCAAATGAAATTGGATTTTGTGCCCCAAACACTCAAAGAAATTTAATCAAAAGACGTCCGCATGCTCCCCACCATCCATCCATCGGCCATATTTGAAGCATTTTTACTCGGCTTGCATTATATATATATAATATAATGATTATTAAATCGTGTGCAAATATTTCAAATGCTCGTACGTTCGCAACGTTCGGAAAATGATTGCTGATCATATTTTGTTTTCATGCTAAAAGCACCAACAGCAAGTCGAAGAATCTATACCCTTCTAGGCATGCTCAGTTTCTGCAGCTTTAGTTATCTAGACAGTATATAATATTCGGTGTCTTGTCGTTTTTATCCACGTCACTTAAACTATATGTATATCTATATTTCGAATATTTAAATTGAATACATATAATTTCTAATAAAAGCAGCTTATATTTATATAGACATAAGCTCTACAACTGATGCACAGACAGTACGACCTAACTCCATCAGGAGTGCAGTAAATTGCTATGTCCAAAAGCTCTCTGGCTATCCATGAGATAATCCTAATATATTCCACAAGTGTATAATAAATTTGTAGCAACTCGGTGCTTCCATCACAGTTGTCTGCATCTATAACAAATTTTATGGCCATGCCATGCGCTGGCTGCTGTGCGCCTCAGGTGAAATAACTGAACCAACTGCAAAATGTGTGCATTTTGTGTATCCCTCTGGATTTTTCCTTTTGACCAACTTATCCATAATTATAATAACGAACGTATAACTTCCTTGGATGGGCTGTCTAGTCCACATCTTTGCTGACTCGAAATTCAAAATAATTGAAGCATGCTGCTTCAGCAATTAAATCGATTGAGGCACTTACCTTGTGTGTGATATCTAAAGGTAATATATGTGTAATTAATTATAATTGGTTTACAATTGCTTCAATTCAAATAGTTCAGTTGAGCCAAAACATTTCAGAAATGATCTCCCTTTGCACCTAATAGAATTTCAATGGGGCTTACATTTTGTTGAATTGAAGCACTCTCCTAAAATAACAAAGCGTCTTAAATATGGAAATGCGTCAATCAAATGAAGTGGGATGAAGACTTTGTCACTAAGCTATGTGTAATATGTTTAAATTTCAAGTTTAATAATTTAATATTTCAATTTCGAAGTCCGAAATACAAATAATTTAACGCTCGAATTATAGAAGTCGTGTTCGGTTGGCCCACAAAATTCAGTTTATTTTTAATATATTATAACATTATCAGTCGGTTATGAATACACATAAAGAGCGAGTGTATTTTAGACACAGTTTACAGCAAGCACACAGACAGAAACAAAGGGAGAGAGAGAGAGAGAGAGAAAGAGAGAGAGAGAGAGAAAGAGAGAGAGAGAGAAAGAGAGAGAGCGAGAGAGAGAGAGAGCGAGAGAGAGAGAGGGAGAGAGAGAGAGAGAGAGAGAGAGAAAGAGAGAGAGAGAGAGAAAGAGAGAGAGATAGAAGATCTCTCTCTCTCTCCCTCTCTCTCTCTCTCCTCTCTTCTCTTCTCTCTCTCTCATCTCTGGCTCTCGCGCTCTCGTCTCTCTCTGCTCTTCTCTCGTCTCGCTCGTCCCTCCCTACTCTAGTCTCGCTCTACACCGTCTCTCTCTCGCTCCTCTCGACTCTCTCCCTCTCTCTTCTCTCTCTCTCTCGTCGTTCGCTCTCTCCCTCTCCTCTCCCTCCTCGCCACACACATACACACTTACATATTTGTTATTTAACTATAACTAAAACATTGATTATCTAGGTTAATAGTCAAAAGTACATTTAAAATTTAAGTGGTGCGTCGTTGGAGCAATTAGGTCCAGACAACGCGTTTGCGTGCAAACTTGGGCGGAACGGATGTTAGTGGGTCGACAACGTTCATTGAGCGCGTATTGTCAAGGCGTGGCGTATCCACACGTCCACGTACGGGCGGCAGATCCTGCCAGACATCTAGATTGAGATTGGTAAAGGAGTCGCTGACCTTGGGCATCAGGTCATTCTCTTCGCCGGCATCGATCTGACTGGGACAAGCGTTTGGCTGCTCGGGTTTATCACAGGGCACGGCTTCGATGGCTTCTATGCCTTCTTCGGAGCGTGGCGAAGAGAGCTCATCTTCTTTGATGAGCTGCTCTAGCTTCTTGGTGGCTTGCTCAATGCCCGCAATGTGTGTGGCACGCAGCTCGACGATCGACTCCTGCTCGGTGACATTCTCGCGCAGCATGCCGCTCAGCAGCTGCTGCTCCTGCTCGATTATCCTGTTGATGTCGCCGAAGCGCTGCAAATGCTGTTCACGCCAATTCTCCTCGCATTTCTGCAATTGATATTTGGCCTCTGACTCGTACATCGTATCGATTTGATTGGCGGCCAGTTTTTCGTTTTCCAGTTGATCCTTGCATTTATTGAGCACACCTTGCAGCTGCTCCGTCCTAATGGCATACTTGGCTATGCGCTCGAGCAGATTTATGCATAGCAAGATCTGTTTGCAAAAGGCCTCGTTGCGATTGCGTATGAAGATCTTGATCTTCTTCTGATTGAAGGCCTGCTTTACATCCGACTGACGCAACATCAGTGCTGTGGACTCCTCCAACAGGCTTTTCTCCTTTTCGAGTTCCGTTATAAATAGGCGGAAATTTTGTTCCTCCTGCTTCAGCTTTTCCGCCTGCCCCTGGCGCTCTTTCAGCTCCGCCATATGCGATTCCTGGAGTGCGCGTATATCCTTGATTTCCTGTTCGCGTATAAGCTGACGCTCCTTCTGCGCCTGCTCGGTTCGACTCATCTCCTGTTGGAGCAACAGCTGCTGCTCGGCGGCTAGTGCCTCGCGCTCCTCTCGATGCTGCTCCTGCTCTATTTGTTTGTCCAGCCAGTTGAGTTTGGCCAGTACCTCGTTGTTGGACTTGGACTGATACAGCAGCTTTTCGTCGTCAACGCCATGGCGCCAGCGACCGTACAATTTGGCCTCCAATTCCAGTTTACGCTTGAGCTGCTCCTGCTCCTGGATTGACTGGTTAATGGACTCTAGAGTCTTAATATCAGCGGGTGCGTCACGAGGCCGACGCTTGCGACCCAGTTCCAGATCGTAGACATTATTATCCTGATCTAGAAGCTGCCGCAGCTTGATGCGACGCTCATTCAGCTCAAGCTCCTTTTGCTGCTGAGTCTTGCGCTGCTGCAGTTGCTTGTCGGCCTTGTCGTAATACTCCTTATTGGTCCAGTTCTCATAGCGCGACGTCACCTGACCCCAATGGTCGTAATAACGATTCACCTGCTGTATCGCCTCAACCCGGTTGTTCACCTGCTCCTGACGCCAGGCATACGCCGCATGCTGATGATTCAACCGGCCCGACATGTCCTGCAAGCAAAATAGAGAAGAGAAGAAGAATGTGTGAGAAATGTGACCAGCTGAATGACAAGTTCATAAACTTCTAGACACTGCCGTGCTCACTCGTGCCTGACACAGCCTCTGGAAGATGATGAAAAGCCAACGAGGCAACTTGAGTAGCAAAAGATGAAAAAGGAAAAAAAACTTCAATTTGCCGTTTGATTGCGCTGCATGAGCATTTGTCAAAAAGCACAAGCACTCGAGATATTAGCTCTCAGAAGCACGCTTATTTATTTATATATTTTTTATATTTGAAACTTATTGAGGCTATAATCGTCGCCTAGTCAAGAGGAAAATAGTGCTGTTTGAGCTGTTAGGCTATAAATGTCAAGTGCTTTGACATATGCAACAAGTGTAAGGGAACCGGAAACAAAGATTAAAGTTTATTTTGAAAGCTTTTTGCCTTAAATCAGTTTAAGAACTAAGGCTTATTTATTGATACTAGTAAATGTTTTTATATACATAAATATATGAGTCAATGTTTCTTTGAGCTGCTCTAAACACGAAGACTTTATTTTAAATGAAAAGTAAATAAAATTTGAGCAGCCAAAGAGGATACCTAGCTATGAAGCGAAGCTATTTGATTCAAAGGGTATTAAACATAAAGCAGCTTATCGCATATGAATATCTCAATTGCACACTTAAATATTAAATATTAAATATATTATTTTAAAGCGATTTTAGCAGGCACTAAACATTTTTATTATATTTAAAAACATAACTAGTTCAGCTTGCTGGGAGTGCCCTTCCTGTGGGTTTTAAGTTAAGTAACTGACAGGAAGCTGTTAGTTTCAAACAACAGCTACTGAACTGGGACTAGATCAGACCAGACGAACGTCTCAATCTCGGTTCGGTCTGGTTTGGCTTGGTCCACTATGGCAACAAACCACCAAATTTCGGGCTTGTTAGAGATTAGATATGGCGCTCTTTACGCTGGCCATGGCTGTTCGCTATTTTTTTCCTTTACTTTTTGGTTTCTGCCTGGCAGCAGCTGTCACTAACTGCCAAGCGAGCAGCCAGAAGCGGCAGGCAGAAGCAAAAGCAACGTAACCAACCAACCAACCAACCAGCCAGCCAGCTACCCAAACTCGCAGAAGCTGTTGCTTGGCCAATGTCGCACGACCACCACTCGCATAGCGCCCACCACCAGCTGCCCCACCTACTCCTGCTTCAGCCTTGATCCCAACGAGTTTTGAGATACAGGCAACTGTCCATCCCAAGCGTCCATCCATCAACGTGGCCCCGTTGCAATATGTCAGAGGCCTGAACACAGAGCGTGCTTCGAGCTACGTTTTGGATACCGCTGAAAGCCGCCTACCAACCACCAACCACTAACCACCACCCACATTTGCCGGCATCGGGATGCAAATTGACGTTGGCGTTGCGTGGACGGCGGGTTTGCTAATTTTCTGCGAGATTTATGGGCAGCACGAAGCGCATTGATATATGCCAAATTGTTTACAAATTGATTACATTATTAATAATGCCCACAGCAGCAGCCACACCACCGCCGCCACAACAAGCAACACCCGTTTCCAGAATGTTGCGTTTGGTTTATACAAAATGCATAATATATTTCCCACAAAGTACTTCTTATGTCATGTGACTGACAAAACTTTGCCAATAAATCAAGCAACGGTGCGAACAAGCTGGATTGCGGGTGGGGCTGGCGGCGCTGGCATGCTGTTGGGAGTGGCACACGTGTGGCCGCCCACATTTCAATCGAGCGGGCGACAGTTGAGCCCACAGCTCAAATGCCAAGATGACGCCCAAATAGACTTAATACACTTTCGGCACACCAAATTCACTTCCTTAATTGAAATTTTAATTTGAATACTTTGCCAAAGTTTTGGCATTCAGCCCAGGATCATGGAGCGAAGGGAGGATTGGAAGGCGTGTCACAAGATATCTAGACAGACACAAACATACACACACACACACACACACACTACAACCTCACACAATAACAAAAACAGCCAAACAAACAAGCAAAAGTCGCTGCTGTCGCCAACAACTGCCAACCAGTCAGCCCAGCCAGCCCAGCCAGCCAGCCAACAGCTTCCCTTGCTCCTCGTTGCTTCTAGTCAATCCTGAAACGTAGCTGCTCCTGCTGCTGTTGGCTGGCGTCTGCTCTCAGACTCCTGGATATATAGCAATCTCACAGGCTCAGCGCTTTTCAATTTACGCGCCGCGCAAATCGTTTGTCATTTTATGTATGCCTTAATATATGGCATGTGCGTGTCGTGGAGCCCGCTCTGCCATCAGTTAAGAGATCTAGAATACCACGCCTTCCCGCCCACCGGTAACCTCACTCCTGGCCCTTAAGAGTGTAATTTCTAACCCAAATGGTAACCAGCAAGCGTAACTAATCCGCACAAGGCAATGATATAAGCGCCAACTGATGAGTCGCTGCATGCCAAAACTTTCCCAAATATATATATTAAGATAAACATGTGTGCGTATATATACATATTTAGATATACGGGCTACATGAAGATATATGACTGACTTCGAGATTGGTCGTTACGGAAATCTTAATTGTTTTGTTTTTTGCAATTCAAAGTTCTTATAATTCCAATAATGACATAAGGCTATCATTTGAAGATAATCACAAATGGATTCAGAAATATAATACAATTTTTAATTGTTTATGAGGATTATAAAAAATATATATATATTTTAGCATATATAGTATATAATAGTTAAATAGTTAAGTTGATAAAAATAAGATATCAAATAATTATTTATGAATTTCACATGCTAATGGAATTTCTAACAAGAGCTAAGCGAAGCCTTTGTCTGACTAAAATTCACTTTTCAATTCCAATTCAATTAAATCATACGAATCTTTGTTTGAAGACCGAAAATACAAATTTGCATAGAACAGATAAGCGTGGCACTAATGACTCGGCGATTAAGACCTGATATATGTTTAGCATATATCTAACACAATTATGTATGTTTTACTATGCTATAGAGCACATAACTCAGACCAGTTGGAATTAACACAACTCAAGCCCGTGTGCCTCTTGTTTGTTAATTAAGTCTTTTTGGCCGATAAGCTTGGGACCAATAGCGGAAGGTAGGCGTGCATGTGCTTCGGTCTATATCAATGCTGGAATACGGGACACGTTTGGGGGTGCCATGTGTGTGGCTAAATGAGCCACTGCTGCTTGAACAAATAATTCGCAATTACTTTTGCTAATTGTAATAGACGCTCGTCATTATCTAACAGCTGCATAGATAATGCTTCGCCTTCTGGTGAATACCCTAAAAGCAATGTGATTTGTATAGCTTCGAGCCACAGGGGAACAAACTAATCATATATACATCTATATATACATATATATATAAAAGAAAACAACAAATAATATAATAGTGAAGAGCGTGCCAAACAGCAGTTAGCGCAACAGAGCACTTAATACACTGATAAGATGTACGATTAGGGACAGTTGAATGGTAAATTAAAAAAAAATTCTAAGACTATAGAAGAGAAAAATGTGGAGTAAGAACACACGTCGCTGATATACCTTAACCAAGGAAACAGAGGGAAAAACAAGTTGGATTTGGGGCAGTATTCATATACCCCAAATTATGGATATATAGATATCATATAATTGTAAGATTCTTACCAATTAACAATTTATTCATAAACACTGAATCAAGCTGAGCCTCTCTGAATCTATATATACATATATATTCTTCTTATCAAAAATAATCTTATGTAAATATGTGTGTTGCTCAAATCATAAACACAATCTAGACAAATCATAGTTAAAAGTCATATAGCTTGGACCTTCTTTATAGAGTACTACACATACCCTGGTTCAATTTCAGTGTATTCCACGCACTAAACGGCTTCGGCATTGGCATTGACTGTTCGAGTTTTTCGGTTTCCCGGACAAGCTTCGCACTGTTGCTTAGCTGTTTTTCAGAATTGTTTTGGTTGTTAACGACATTGGCACGGCGATGGGCGACGAGCGGTCTGTAAGTGGGTCGGGGTCTGGCTCCAATTGCGAGACCTTAGACGCCGTCACACGGCAAGAAGAAGATGAAGAGCAACAACAACAACAACAACAACAACACCAGAAAGAACAGCAGCAGCTGAGTATAATTTGTGGTAAGTGCTGTGCCAGCGAGACAACTATTTGAACTATTCCATGTGTCTATTGTGACCTCTACGTCAAAATTTCCCCTTTTTTGTGCTTAACAAAATAATATAAATAAATAGAGTATTGTGGGGGGTTTCTAGCTTGCGTGTTTACCTTCCCACATAAATGCATAGAGCCAAAAATATTGGCTGGCAAACGACTTGAATTTCCTTTTGATGATGGCCATCTGGAGGCTGCGGTTATCCCCCCAAGAATATATATAGCGGGCTGTGCGTGTTTGTTGAGTGATAGATGCGCCTAATGAAAAACAAGCAGGGAAAACTAACACAACGTACCCCAAATACACTACCCAGAACACGATGCTCTTTTACTAAATGAAGGTGTGAGTTTTTTTAGGAGTCAGCTGCTTGTATGAGCAGGCCACGAAATAAAAACCATTCATTGATTTGCGGCTTGTGGAAAGCCCAGATTTCTGGCATAGCCTGTATAACGAGTTTCATATTTTTAGTCAGAGAGCTCTACAACTTTGCTTCCATTCCAACTTGCCAAATATAAATATTTGTGCCAACTTTGCAGAGTAAGTTAAAAATATATCAATATTTCTGGTATTTGTCACATATCTAAAATAAACAATGACATGCCATATGCATAAATAAAAGGGCTTTGGCTAACTAGATATGAAATTAACTGGGATTCTTCATAGGCGTTACAAGCTCTATTACAGTATGGAAATGCCTAAAAATATTAGAGATTTGGCAATGAAATACTAAAATACAAACGCCGCTAATTTGTCTATCAAAAGGCGGCGCATTGACTAAAGCAATTTGACAATACATTTGCCCTGTGCTTCCCCTCGAAACCAACCAGGGGACTCCCCACAACTCCGGATGGTTTAAGAAAAAAAAAAACACATTTGAACGACAGAATCAAGAAGAGTAAGGAACGCGCGGAGCGAACAAACGGAAGGGAAGCTTAGTGCAAGACAGTGATAGGCCATTTAGAACGCAGTTCACTAAGTTCAAGCGCTCGATAAGATCTTCAGTAAAGAACCAGGGGATATACTATAGCCCCCCTATAGTCCCATTTAAAGAACTTATGTAAATGTAAATACAGCTGTGAATTCCAGTTGAGTATAATTGCCCATTGCCCAACAGTTGATAGTTAATAAAAACAAATAAATTATATTCATATTGCAAAATCAGAAGTTAGTTGCAGTCGCGGACGAGAGCTGATTGCTCTACAGCTTGGCGAATAGTTAACACATGCGCATATGTTTAACTAAGATTTTGATTAATGTTGCTAAAACTTTATTTTTATTGGCAACGACAACCTTGTTGCATACCATATAAACATAAGTTATGACTTTCACTCAAGGTAAACAGCAGCATAAAACTATAAAAAGTAAATGAAATAGTCGCAAAATAAACGAATATCTTGCATATCATTAGTCATAGCTACTCTATCTAATCTAAGCCTGAGTCTAAGGCTAAGTAAATTGACCGATAAAATCGACCTAGAACACAATGATTTGACATTAACAAAGATTGAAAATCTGGAAATATCGAGAATCGATTAGTAAATCGTTCGTTTTAGGTGTTTAGTAAATTTCTCAGACTGTGAAATTAGAAAGTATAAAAGAAAAATGCAACTTATTTGATTAGAGACATAATCTTCTATAGTATACAAAAAAAACTTGATTATATTAATAATTGACAGTCGATTAGTTAACGGCCTGGCTGACGTGACTCATGGTCGACTCTTTCGACTGGCCTATTGTAAAGCGTTGCAAGGTTCAGCTGTCATTCGATACACAAGTTATCATTTGTGCCATCTAGAAAGGGCTCAGCGAAAAAAAGTACCCGTAACCTGTGTGCGAGCAAAAAGTACCGTTCAGCGGGCCATATAGACAGTAAAACAAGCGGAATGTCGCGTTTTATAAAAGAGGTCGACTGCAAATTTTGCAAAATTTCACATGTAAATCACACAGGAACTTGAACCTACATCAGTCCTAACGGTGCGTATAAAATTCGCTAATAGCGCGCGCGCTCTGGGTCCGTGCCAGAGGCACAGAGACAAATCCCAGCGAATTGGGCTGATAACATTATCAGCAAATTGAGAGCTAACCGATCGTAGCGACAGCAACAAAAACAACGACAACAAGCGTTTGAGCTGAGCGGAAGCGAGCGCAACGGAGCGGCAATGAGCGAATTGAATGAGCCGATGAACAGCGACGCCGACTGAGCGACCGCGACGTCGACGTATACATCGACGCTGGCGCTTGGTAATAAATTTCATGCGATTTAAAAATTGTTTGGCATTGCGCACAGGCAACAACAGCGACGCTGACGTCGACAGCGCTGGTGCGAAAAAAAAATAAATAAAACACGAAAGAAGAAAACAAAAATACAAAAAAAAAATTAAATAAACTTAATTTTTTTTTTTTGGTACGCGTCTATAAACATTGGTGCGCCCTTATGCTGCCCAACCATTCGCTCTTCAGATTCGTGCGAATGCGAAACATAACGCAAAGCTAATCCAATAAATAAATACATTTTAGCATACTTAAAGCATGTGAACAATTGCAACTCGAATATTTTGCACAATTCTTGCCAAAAAAAAAAAAAAAAAAAAGTAACAATACAAATTAAGTTAAAATTTTAAATCAATTAAAACAAAAGTTCCTAAGTTCGTTAAAAAGAAACAATTATATAAAATAAAGCAGTTCCTAAAGCACGCAACACCTGACAGCATGACAGCACTTGGATTACTTTTGCTATCTATGATGGGTAAGTGTGGGTTGGTAATGTCTTATCGCCAAGTTGCCCCTGAAATACACACACACAGACGAGCGAACACACGCACACAGACAGAGTTGAGCACAGAGCAATTGCCGCTTATCGGTAATTTCTGCACGCCTGCTAAAGGCCAACTGGAAATTGTTGTCAACTCACCCTGTAAACCGAGAAACTGGCAGAGCAGACGACAGCAGCAGTAGCGAGATATGCATCTTATACATTGGGTAATTTGTATACTCGCACTGCTGCTCGTCGTAATACACATACTATTCGAGAATTTATGTTTCAGATTGAGCGTAAATTTAATTACTTGCATTTAACAATAATGTCATTTAAACGCCAACAAACCCACTCACACGGCGCGCACACACACATACACCCACCACACTTATTGACAGTCGGGAAAGGGAATTTTTTATAATATGCACATTATAATTTATTGTTTTTATCAATACGCTTTCGCTGGGGTACCAGGCATATACGAAGCTGTTTGCAGAGTTCACAATCATTTTTAATTAATACCTTTGTCAAGTAATATTCTTGAAATGGTTTTTCGGAATCCAAATAAATATATTAAATAAATGAATTTTAATAGAGCAGGAAATGATTATTTGGAATAATTCTTTGCTCATTTATTTGGAAAATGTTAAAGGAATTGTCTTCTGACTGTATCTTACGTTGGGATTACATTTAAATCAGTTTTTTTTAAATTGTAAATGCTAACTATTTTTAAAATTTAATATCAAAGTTTTTCTTGTAAACAAGAACAGAAAAGTCTACGTTGCTTTCGCATTTATTTCTTGCAAAATCATAGATCACATTTAAGTCTGAAGCCTACAAATTAATCGTGTTCTGTATAATTGCTTTCTATATTTATTTTATGAGCACGGATTTAAATATTATTTCTAAAATGAACCGATCAATTTGTTAGTATTTAATTTTCAGCAGAGGTTCAATCCAAAATTATTTCTATTTAGCTGTGTAGAGTATTTAGATTTGTATAATAATTGAGACTAAATTTTGTTTGTTGGCTTGTCATTTTTTAATTTCGCTGGTACTTTTTTTAAATTAATTTCTTTTTTAAACTGAACATGACTTAATTTGGAACATGTCGTTTTCTATATAATATTTGATATTATAACATACTCTCGTTGTTCAAAAGCAAAATATTTGCCTAATGCGTTTGGTATGCGCGCACACATAATATGTTCCCACAGGAATGTGTGTGCGTGTGTGCGTGAGTGTGTTTGTGAATAAATATCATATTTGATATGCTTTGGCTGATTAAAAGCAAACAAGAGGCGCGCGGGCGAGGCGATCGATTATTTTGTGGCTGCAATTGAATAAATTGAATTCCTTCAATTATGAGACAATACTTGATCCGATGCTCAAGGATAAAGTTTTATCAAATTATCAAAGAAACCACTGGCAAGGGCCATGGTATAGGCTCTGCGTTCCACTTCCCTCTCTCTCTCTCTCTCTCTCTCTCTCTGCCTATACCTTTCTCTTTCTATTTGTGTGTGCCTCGAGGCATTCTAATTACTGGCACATAGTCGAAAATTACTTTTTTGAAACAATTTACTAATGAAATACGAGTAGGTTTCCCAGACACAGCTTATAGTAATTATTAAATATCTAAGTTAAAACTTATTTATGTGTGGGCGTGTCAGGGTGTGTGTGTATATTTAGGCAGTAGTTTGCAACATTGATTAGCACAACGAGTTTAATGTTTACTTTAGTAGGCCGCGCGTAATTAGGGCCAATGATTAGAGGAGCGTGTGTAAAATTGGGGTTTACAACGAGGAGCTCGAAATGGCAAAGTGGTAAATATACCATAGGAGCATTGAACGGGCGAGAGGGAGAGAGTGTGAGAGAGTTTATAAACGTAATTAACGTGCAATACTACTATGCAGTAAAAGGCATAAATTAAATAGCAAACGATTTGACAGACAGCTTCCCTTTAACACGCTCTGTTTATTATGCAAGCACGCGCTGGCAATAGACTCGACTTCAGCTCTAGATTTAGCTCCAGATCTGATTCCAGCTCTCATCGCGCTGCTACATCCGTTCAGCATATGAGTCAGGACAGTCGCAGGTGCTAACAAAAATGTTTTGCTCTCCAGATTTCTAATTAGAAATTGCTGCTGCTGTTAAGTTAGTCAAGTCTTGAATCAGCAGATCCTGCTCTCCACTTCTTGCAGGGCCTCTCACTATTCTGCCAACTTTCCGTATGCATATAAATGCGCCAGGAAGTGGGCGTGGCCACGCCCAAGTTGCTAAAGTTGTCGACGCCTTGGCAAACATGCCAAATGGTTGCTGTTTAAGTTTCACTCTTCTACGCCGACGACATCACACTCACGCACATACAAACACACACACACACGCACACACCCAGAAACGCAAACACACACACACACACACTTACAAACATCCGCACATTTACCGAATTTTGAATGAAATAGTTTTTGGTCGGATTTATTTGCATTTATGTGTTGCGGGTTGAAGAGGAAGCTGAAAGTTGACTTCGAAGGCCGGGCTCTGGCCTACAGATGACTGTGCCACAACTGACGGATGATACCACCTGTTGGCATACCATTTGTATCAAATTTAAGGCAAAAAGCAAAACATTTTTGTTAGACTTTCAAGCTGAGTCATCATTATTTGTGGATTATTGTATATAAAACAGTTAAAGACTGACAGCCGAAATACGCTAACAAATATAGAGGAATGATATAACCATATTGCAATGCTTGGGGCCATAAAGAAATTTTTACAAATTTTCTTCTGCAGTTTTAGGTCGAATTTATTGAAAAATCATTTTCTATAAATATTTAACTTATATGTATATATTTAACTTCTATCTGATCTGTTTACTCATAGATTCAATTTTTATTTTCATAAATGTTTGTGTAATGAAGTATAATTAAAAGTTAAACAAACGTTTGGTCTGCATTGCAATACCCTGCAGAGCTTGAAGTGTATTAAACGTTTTAGTAACTAAAATAAATTGCCAAACAAACTTTATGCATATTTTATATGAACTAAGGCCGGTTCATTAATTGACACGTTTGTCAAAGAAAAATACTGAAATTGAATGAGAGAGAGAGAGCGAGAGAAGGTAAGGCAGAGAAAGAGAATGCCAGAAATGACGACAGCAGAAAAGAGAGTAAGATTTATAAAATACTACTTAAAACAGATTATATCAAAACCGATCAGAGCTTGGTGCAGCTACCTGTTTGGGGATTAAAAACAAGTTGAGTCCATGAGCCGCTCTCTCTCTATCCACCTCCCACTCTTTCTAGGTATTTGTTATATCTTGTTAAGCGGTACGCGGGGAATTTTTATTAGGCGATACGGCAGTCAGTTGGCTGGTGTGCTTCATTGCGATTTCTCACCTCGCTGAGACAACACAACAAACTGAAACAGAAAAACCACCAACAGCACCAGCTGCCGCTGACAAATCGAAAGGGGAGTCCGTATCGAATAATTGATCAATGGCTACACGGAAGCAAACTTGAACGCGCGACTAAAGTTAAAGCTAAACAAACTCTTGCAATTAATACTAACAAAGTTGGCTAAAAACACCTAGCCACACACACACGCAGTCACACACACGTACACAGTTTGGCTCAGGGGGAAGTGAAATTGTAGCAAATAGTAAATAAACGAAATTGAAACTGAACACCAACTTAAACAAGTTAACAAACAACTAATGGCCAATCTTTGCTCTACAGGCTATAGCCAACACATGCAGCCTCTCGCAGCGGATGGTGGTGCGGGTGGTGCAGCTAAGAGCTCGCAGCTGTTGTCCCGCGCTGATTGGGGCGCCCGCATGCCAAAAGAGGTGAATTATTTTGATGGACCCGCACCGTATGTCATCATACATCACTCGTATATACCCGCCGCATGTTCCACTACGCCGGATTGCATGCTCAGCATGCGTCAAATGCAGGACTTCCATCAAGTGGATCGCGGCTGGAACGACATTGGCTACAGCTTTGGCATCGGCGGCGATGGTCTGATCTATACGGGTCGCGGTTTCAATGTTGTTGGCGCCCATGCGCCCAAATATAATGACAAAAGTGTGGGCATTGTACTCATTGGCGATTGGAGAAGTAAGCCAAATGGATATTCTAAACATTCAATATTTACTAATAAATTCCTTCGCTCTCTCTCCAATAGCTGAACTGCCCCCCACTATCATGTTGCGAGCCGCACAGGATTTGATTGCCTTTGGTGTTGCCCAGGGCTACATAGATCCATCCTATAAGCTGCTGGGACACCGTCAAGTGCGGGACACCGAATGCCCCGGTGGCCGGCTGTATCAGGAGATCTCGACATGGCCGCATTTTACGCAGCTCAACAAAACTGTCGAGGTGCAGCCGGTGGCTAACAAGGTTTAGGCCCAAACCCAAACGCTAGTTTAACTTAACGAGTGTCTCTAACCCAGACAGACAGAGAGACGCCTATACACAGTATTTGATAAGATATAGAAAGAGAAAGAGAGACAAATAAAAACTATTAGCATTACAATTTGAAATGCTCGACTCATTTAATTAAAAAATATTTACGATTCGCAATTTGCTTTGATTGCAGTGAAAAAATCCATTCGCGAATACTTTCAATTATTAAAAGGTTTTTTATATTTTGCTTTTGTTTTATTTTCATTTTTATTTTAGTTTATTTTTCATTACAAACCGCTGTGCGTTCATCAAATTGATTTACGACGGTCCTGGCAAGTTTTCGACTTGTCATCGCATCAAAATAAAAGCAAAACCACAAAATTAAAAATCAAATAAAAAAGTAGAATAAATAAATACAAACAAAAAGTAAATAAAATAATGAAAACCGGCGCCAAAGCGACTTTTAATTTTATTGATTTGTGCTACGATCTGCACCAAAGCGAACTTAAATATGCGCAAAGCAAAGCAAACAAAAGTGCTTGACTAGAGAATACCCTGTTGTATATTGTTTATTTTTAATGTCATTCATTCATTCAATATTCAGTTGGAGTAAAGAAAAAACTCAAGATAGCAGGAAGGAGTAGCTCAACTGTCCCATTATAATCAGTCCGCTGGTAGGCATGAGACTCAACAGTAACTCACTGTGGAAGATACAGCTTTATCTGACAAGCCACGCCCACATTTGACGTAGCTATAGATACGCCTGCAATAAGCGTAGACATACTAGAACTTAGCTTGTCAACGCGAGTATATGCCCTTAGTTGTCGTGAATGAGTATCAAAAATAAAATCTACAACTATATAATATTTAAATCATTCATCATATTTAAATCATTATTTAGAAATATTTTTATGCCTAGTTTAATAATATTACAGTAGCAAAAAGAAAATGTTCAACTTATTTTATGTTTTTTTATTATATGTAACTATATATAACTATATCATATATACAAATATTTTTTATGTGCTCAAGCACAGGGTATATGGTACTGAGTGACGCGAGTATATGCCCTTAGTTGTCGTGAATGAGTATCAAAAATAAAATCTACAACTATATAATATTTAAATCATTCATCATATTTAAATCATTATTTAGAAATATTTGTATGCCTAGTTTAATAATATTACAGTAGCAAAAAGAAAATGTTCAACTTATTTTATGTTTTTTTATTATATGTAACTATATATAACTATATCATATATACAAATATTTTTTATGTGCTCAAGCACGGGGTATATGGTACTGAATGATTTTCTGACAGAGCCAAAAAGTATGCAGCGCAAATTTGTTTCCTGCATTTAACCCCAAAACTACGCGCAAATTTATTTATTCCTAGCTACCAAACACAATACATACATACATACATACATATCTATATATATTTATATATGTTCATCTAGGAAATCTGAAACAGAATGCAGAACAAAGAAAAAGTACGCAAATTGTTTCACGTGCGCCAGTTAAACAATATGCAACTATCTTCTATTTTATGTATCTTCCCTACGGCTTTCGGGTTGTTCACGTTCATATTGCGTATACGCCTAGTGATGTTGTTGTTGCATGCAAATGACAGTGTTGAAAAACGTTAAGTTATTAAAAGCTTATTGCTTTAACATAGCTATAGACAAAACATTTTTGTTGATTTCAATGAAACGTTTGCTGCGCTCTAACGTTTTCCTAATTTTAAATTGCTTTTCTAACAAATTGAAATATTTTGGACCGAAATTATTCTCACTGCAGCACGCCTTCATCAAATTTAAAATAGAAATTAATTAATTAGATGTATATAAGCACGCCCTAGAGAGCGAGTTTGAATTTGCATCTATTTTAAATATTTCGGTAATTTAACACTGACGAACGAGTGCCATCGCGCTGAAGTTAATTGAAATTATGTGCGCTAAATTTCAGAGCCCGGTACGACGGTAGGTGTCTGACTTCATTCAATGGCATTTGGTATGCATTCCCTTTGGGGCTTCCTTCGCTTAGTTTCAAAAGTCATAAACTCCTCAATTTGCTTTTGTCCTTTTCTATACCGCATAACTCCTACTTCTGCTTCTTACATTTTTTTACATTTACCGCATTTTGTCATTTCTTTCCATTTCTTTTTAACGGAAATTTTGTCTTTATTTCTTCCTTTCAATCGGTTTACGGTTTGCACTTGAATTCCTTGGCCCACTTTTTTCTCTCTTCGGTTTGCTTTTATAATACTTCAATTATTTTATTTTATTTTTTTTTTATTCTTTCTTCGTGTCGATTGTTAATGTACCCCAGTTTTTCAACTATTCTTATTGCTTATCTGGCAAACCCATCTCTCTCTCCCTCAATTGCTGTTACTTGTCAACTCTTTGTCGCCTTTGGTTTTACAGCTATTCTTGCATTAAAATTCAGTTTATTTTCAAGTTTAATTAGTTTTTCTTTTATTTCCCGAGTAAGTTTTCAGCAGTTGTGATGCTGTATAATTGTATTTTGGCTGCTTTTTATAGCGCGCAACATCTTGTGTAGTTAAACTATCTATTTTATATTGTAATAACTTCTAAATACTCGAAGTTTGTCTTTGGGTCAAATAAGTAACTTTCGCATCAATATTTTTATTATATATTTTATTTTCGCATTATTTTTATAGTTGCGAAAACGTTTCTTACTTTATGTCTTATGTTTCTTGAAGTTAAATTATCAGCATCTAAGGCTCCTTTTTATGCCTTGTGACAACATTTCTCGTACTCTGCTTAAGTTCTTCTGATCTGGCAAAAGTTTATACATTTGCTGAACTTCTCGCACTGGTTCACACTGCGAATGCAATTCAACTAATCGATATGCAATCATTTGGATACTAAAAATAAAATTTATCACGCACTAAACGATGGCAAATCGCTCAATCTCAGTCGAACGCAAATGTCAAACGCATCCAACAGATAGAACAGCGAGAATAGAGGAGTGCGACAACTGGGCGATTGCGACAATGTAAATATTGCAAAAAGATACTAAAGAGTCCAACAAAAGAAAACATATTTAACAGGAATACAAAAGAACAGAAGCAATAATGGGTTTGGATTTTCTAGAAGATTGGTTTTTATCACAGGGTAAGACGCGTTACGCCTCAACTAATAACAAAAAAAATGTATATACCCATCCACCCACATAGAATCCGTAGCAAGCAACTTGCGTAATTGAGTCCCATTTAATGTGCTCAAATTAAATGATAAGAGTTTCGCTTTCCGTACGTTATATTATGCAGACGCCGGCTACTTAAGCAAGGCACTTGAGCTGCTCCACATATATATACACACGCTGTATACTACATTTATATATATTCATAATTCCAGTTCCATTGAACCTATGTTGCACCTGGCATAAGGTCAAAACGGCTGTGCGCTCAACGGTCCGAGCAAATGGCTAAAAATATATGAATTTTTTTGTTGTTGGCCAAAATAATTTTCAATTTCATTTTTTCTAAATATTTTCACGAGAGCGAGCAGAGAACTTACACTGAGAGCGAAATTATTTTTTTTTTTTTTTTTTTTTTTTTTTTTTTTTTTTTTTCGTTTTTATTTCTTTATTTTGTTGCAGCTTATTGTCTTAGACTCTATAGCGCATTTAGCTCTAAACCTTAACTAATGGGAGGGCAGATATGCCAATTATTCTGCACTTGTAGCTACTATCTTAATTAGTTCTAATATTGTCTAGAGGATGCAATCTCTTCAGTCTTCGCCTATTGTTGTTTATAGCCAGGTTGCTTGCGAGATGGTTAGGATGCGCTGCAAGTCTGTCCGCGTATCTTGAACTGTGTCGCCCAATGAGTTCAGCAACTGTGGGAATTGCTAAATCCCTATGTAAGACTGAGTTTCTTACAAACCAGCTGGCTCCAGTCCATCTGCGTAGTGCTTTATTCTGCAGGGTCTGAATTTTGTTCCTTGTAGTCTTCGCCGAGGAGCCCCATAGAGAGATACCATATACGAAGGTTGGGACAACTATTGCCTTGTAGATGGCGGCCTTGCTGCTGTAAGACAACTTGCTTGAAGCTCTCAGCATCCAGTCGAGGGTTTTTAGCTTGCTTTTGCATTTTGAGGTTACTTGACTTATGTGCGCTTTAAAAGTCAGCCTTCTGTCAAGAGTGATACCAAGGTACTTTACTTTTGAGGCTTTGGGAATAGTGGGCCCCAATGCAACGCTTGGGCAATCTCCTCTTCTAGTGGCGAAGGTAGTATGTACAGACTTTTGTGCATTAATGGTGATACACCACCGTTTTGCCCAGCGTCCGAAAGAGTCCAGATATTTTTGTAGTGAGTCTGAAGCTTCTTGCGCAGATACGTGACGTGATAAGATGGCGGTGTCATCTGCATAGGTCGCTATGAGTACTGCATCTGTACTTCCTATATTTGGCTCGGGAGTTGGCATATCTCCTGTGAATAAAGTATAAAGTGTTGGGCCTAGAACACTACCCTGTGGTACTCCAGCCATAATTGGTCTAGTCAAGGATACTGTTTGCCCCCTTGACACTTGGAAGGTTCTTCCAATAAGGTATGAGGATAGCAACGCGAAAAATGGGGCTGGAAGGGTGGTCCTCACTTTCTGCAGCAGTCCCAGGTGCCAAACTCGATCAAACGCCTGTTTGATGTCTAAAAAGACGGCAGAGCAGTACATCTTTTCTTCAAAGGCTCCAAGGATATGGTGCACAACTCTGTGAACCTGTTCCGGTGTTCCATGCTGTCTCCTGAAGCCAAACTGATGGTTTGGAATGGCCTCCTGGCGTCCCAGATGTGTCAGTACTCGTTCCAGAAATATTCTTTCGAATATTTTGGAGAGTACTGGCAACAGGCTAATTGGTCTGTACGACTCAATTTCTCCCACGGGTTTGCCAGGCTTAGGAATCATCACAATCACGGCGCGCTTCCAGCAGGCTGGAAAGTGCCGGATGCGGAGCATGGCGTTGTACACCATAGTTATGTAGTCTATGGTGGAGTCAGGCAGTGCTCTAAGGACTCTGCCGTTTATTAGATCATATCCAGGGGATTTTTTTGCCTTCACTCTTCTGATGTGTTCAAGAACCTCTTCTTTTG